TCAATCATAGCAGAATTTAGGAGACATCTGTATTTCTTGCACATAACAAAAGGAAGATATACTGCTGTAATATTAAGATTAAGCATAGCTCTTTCTCTTCTTTTGAGAGTCATAACGCAACTCTTGAGATGTCGTATATCTCTTCCTAATGAAGTGTCAAAAATATTTACCTTCAGGACAAATTACAAGAATAGCAAACATCCTACTCCGTATTAAAGCAGTTGCTACAGTAACGTCAGCAGCTCACAAGCTCTCTCTGGTGGTCCTGCAAAGCTGAATGTTGTTGCACTGAGTGTCGCTAGGTTTGATCAAAGTATAAATAGCGGTGAAAAGGGGGGGGAAGTGGAAACAGCCAAGTTAAAATATTTGCAGTTGGACTCTGATGATTTTTCCAAGTTCCTCAGGCTGTTTTGCACCTGGCTTTGCTCGTGTGTGTGTAGATGGTTTATGGGATGGAAATAGCCTGACCTGTAATGATCTTGAGGCCACCGATTTCTCTGGGGTGCCACTGAGTTCTCAGAGCTTCTGAAAATTACCTCGTAGCCTGTCTACCAGCTTTGGGCATCTGAACTGCAGGATTTCAGAGGCTGCATGCTTAAAATATCAAAATTCCTTTTTCACTGGAGCTTCATGCGTTAAACTCGGCTGCAAGACTTACAATACCGTTACTTCTAAGCAACTACACTACTGTGATGTTTGCTCAGAAAGGCTGACTTTATTTAATGTCTGTGCCTGCAATATTGATACCCTAATTTGGATCCAAATTTTGTTTGTCCTTATTTGCACACTTATGCAAGCATGAAATACTGAAGGTGAAATTGATTTCTGTTGTTACTGAAACAAACTACTATTAAAAGTCGTATCTTTCTACTGAGATAGAATTTGCTAATATTAAAAAAATGATAGGCTTATGGCCCAGCTGAACCAATCTAATAAATCCATTTTAACAAAGAAATTGGCTTTTTATTGAAAGGGCGTTGTGCTCATCTCGCAGGGTGGCTCCAGAGAGCCTTTGGCAGTTAGCCAGGCAGTCGCTGTAAATCCTGTCTCGCTACAGTGAAGACCCCGAAGGAGCCAGATCAGATAGTGCTCTGCTACCTGCGCCTGTGTGCCTCGTGTAACCCCACACGGCATGTGTTTTGGCACAGGAGGTACTTCTCCCCCCAGCTCCAGTACCAACGTGCAAAGCTAAGTGAGGATAAGCCAGTCGGTTTTGGCAGACTGATCTTTTCTATGTTGTTGATGGCTTTAAACTCAGCTATGTTGTACAACCTGTGCTTGCCTGGTCTTAGATGCACGCACACAGTGATTTTTTAGGTATGAGGCAAAGAAGTGATTATTTTTAAAAATTTTAGCCACTCTGCATCACCATCGTTGTGGTTTAACCCCAGCCAGCAACTCAGCGCCACGCAGCCGCTTGCTCACTGACCCTGCCCCGGTGGGATGGGGGAGAGAATCGGAGGAGTAAGAGTGAGAAACACTCCTGGGGTGAGATAAGAACAGTTTAACAATTGAAATAAAGTAAAAGAGTAATGATGATAATAACAATATAATAATGATAGTAATAATAATGTACAAAGCAAGTGATGCCCAATGCAATTGCTCACCACCCGCCGACCGATGCCCAGCCAGTTCCCGAGCAGCGATCGCTGCTCCCCGGCCAACCCCCCCAGTTTCTATACTGCCCATGACGCCGTATGGTATGGAATGGCCCTTGGGGCAGTTTGGATCAACTCTTCTGGCTGTGCCCCCTCCCAGCTTCTTGTGCACCTGGCAGAGCATGGGAAGCTGCCAAGTCCTTGACTGGCACAAGCAGTACTTAGCAACAACTAAACCATCAGCGTGTTATCAGCATTATTTTCCTACTAAATCCAAAACACAGCACTGTGCCTGCTACTCAGATGAAAATTAACTCTATCCCAGCCGAAACCAGGACAACCATGAAATAATTTCCAAAGGGGTTTCCTTCTTGTGTCTCGAGCAGCGCGTAGGTGGTCTTCTGGATGGGTTGTACCAAGTGCTGCTACTGCCCTGCTACTACAGGCAGAAGCTTCCTGATCTCTTTTTTTGAGTACATGGAGGATACAAAGCTCTCCTAGAACACATAGGCAAAATTGATCCAAAAAGCACCAAGAGAAGCTGCTTTGAATGCTTCCGTAACCTACAGTTTGCATATTTTCAAGGATGTTTTATTTCTCTTACCATGCTGGTTTTAAATGTTTCTTTAGTAAGAGTAATTTTAGGAGTAACAGTAATCATATGGAATCTTTTATTTGTAATTTTAAGATTTCCTTTGCATTTGCTTAAGAACAGGTACTTGAAGTGAAATGTTTGATTTTTAGATGTGTACATGGTGCCCATGCCCAGGCTGGGGCTTGAGGGGTCTCTGTGAGGAGAGGCCGAAGCTGCCCTGGGCCAGGCACAAACAGTTCCAGCAGCCCCATGGCCAGGCGCAGCTGAGCTGCTGTTTTAATTTTTGTCTTTGTTTCTTACCATCTGAATCTCTTTATATGGCAGTAAATTAAATTAATTTTCCTCAAGTTGAGTCTGCTTTGCTCGTGACAGTGATCAACAAGTAAGCTCGCTGTCCTTATCTCAACCTGTGAGCTTTTTTATCTTACTTTCTTCCGCATCCTGTTGAGGGGGGCGGGTGAGAGCGCGGCTGGGTGAGCCTCGGGCAGCCGGCCAAGATCAACCCACCACAACATGCTCATTTGGGAATACGTCAGATGAAACCGTGGTGGGAGTAAGAGTCCAATAAGGTCACTGAAGTTGGTGCGGTGGCTGGAGGAATGAAGATAACTTGTGCAACTCGGGCGTTTACGCACTTCTTAAAAGGGCTGACTCGAGCTCGGCACTGAGCTCTGACATTTAGCTCTCAAATAGCGATGACTGTTAGCACTTGTGTATCAACCTGATTTTTAGGTACAGCCGCTTCCTTGTGCCATATAGCCTGCCTTCACATTTATTTGTTCCTTCAGCAATTTACTTGTCAAAAGGAAAGCCAAAAACGAGCCTAGTCCTGCAGATCCACCTGTCAAGCTCCTGTCTGCTGGCTCCGTGATGTTTTGGGGTTGTAGTTACCCATGCCAGCTGGATAGCAGGAGTGCTCTGGAAAAGCTCAACGATATCTTTACCTTTTGACTGACAGAAAGGGGTAAATTTCAGAAAGCTTTTAACCTTCCCCATCTTTCCTAAAAATGCTAATAAAGGGGTTTGAGATCACCCAAGAGGTAGTAATCTTGATTTTAAAAGCCTTAAAAAAAGCAAGCTGTAGAACTAGAGAACAAAAGCACTTTAACACATTTTATATTTATGCTTTTTGTAGCCAAGCCAGATAAAGCTTTGTCAATTTAGAGAAAAACAAAACATTTACAAAGGATGCAAGGACCATTTTAAACCGTTCTGTCTCTGTGATGAGTGGCAGCCAGTGTCATTGAGGGAGCTCATCTTTTGGGCAGCTCTGCGGCACATTGGTGTGGTGTGTGAAACACGTTTGCTACCTCTAGCTAAAGCAGCCCAGATATTATCGCTTAAGCGCTGTGTAGTTCTATCTATTCCATCTGGTGTGATAGCAGTCGGAATAGCATGGAAAGCACATACAGTTTTGAGTACCTGGATCTTTTGTCTGGCATGGGTATCTCTTGATGGTGCACAATGCATCGCTGTGCCGCATGGACTTGCTTGTTGTATCTCCTCGCTGGTATTCCCTGAAAATCATCAGAAAATAAAGACAAAATAGGAGTTAGTGAAAGTTTCCACCAGATAGATCTTGTTCGCTGAGGGTGAGGAAACAATTAATGATGATTAACGGCCATCTGTTGAAGGCTTAATGACCTTGCACAGATAACGCTTTTTTAGTCGGCTGTGGTGTGTCATGGTAAACAACTCTTCACGCTGCCGTAAACACTGCCTAGATTGTGATTATTGGTTTTGGTTTTAAGTCATGGCGAAGTACGGATTTTACACAAACACCTGCACCTTTTTGAAGTTAAGGATGCTTTTTCTCCAACGTTAGCTGAAGCCACAGCCTTAAGAAGTCATGCCAATATTTTCATTAAAGCCTGCTAATAGACGCTGAAGTGAGGCAGTGCCCGAGTCTAATGAGTAGGCAAATGTACAGGCAGCAATTAGCTACCGTCTCGCTGACCCCTTCCTAGACGGAGCACGTGAAAGCATTGTAAGGGTCCTCAGAAACACTCCTGTCTGAATATGGGTACTGCCTTTTGAACGGGAGCGTGATGTGTGCAAAGGAGTAGGTCTGGAGCGGCCAGAACGGGGCTGCGCAGGGTCGTCAGGCACAAGGTGGGTGAAATATCCTAGCTCCCGGGGTTGCCTAATTGATGCCAGGACTGCGCCCTACTTCTGCCGCAGTTCAGCAATGGGCGAATGCCAGGGCAGCTTTGTGCCCTACGCTGGGTCTGTACATCAGCTCCGTTGTGCAGCATTGCAGCAATGTCACGCAGTCTTTTTTTTTTTTTTTTAATATCTCTTTAATAAAAAAGGATAAAATTACTCCAGAAATACCTGTGCTCAATCAATGAGGGTGCAGAATGTCTCTAAGAAGAGGGAGGACATTCTTCTTGTGTAAGTTTGTGAATGCGTTGCTGGTTTCTTTGATATTTAGCGTTTGTCAACAACAATTTGGCAGTGGAGGTTTCTGGGAATTAGACTGTTCTTACCTGTTCAGTTTGTTGCAGACATGAAAAGTCCATTTATATTTTTCTTCTTTTTGTTCCTTTTTTTTTTTTTTTTTTTTGAGCAGTTTAGTGCCAACACAGGAGAAAGAAATTGCTGGAAAAGCAGAACTGTATGCAGCAAAGTGAAATGAACCATTTAAAGTAATAGCAATATCTGCTCTCTGGAATCTAATGTTTTAAACGTCAGAGTGGAAGAAATTTGCTGGACGAATATGCAACTTTATTTAAAGGACAAGGTTAATGATTCTTTGCATGCATATTTACTTTATTTGCCTCTGCTTGTTTTCTTTTTCCTATTAGGCTGATGATAAAGACACTGGGAATTACAGTGCCATGCAATACAGACTCATCATTCCTCCAATCAAGGATGGTAAAGAAGGTTTTGTGATTGAAGCTTACACAGGGCTAATAAAAACTGCTATGCTGTTCAAAAATATGAGAAGATCCTATTTCAAGTTTCAGGTCATTGCAACTGACAATTACGGAAAAGGACTGAGCAGCAAAGCAGAAGTACTTGTAAGTATGAGCCGGGCATTATCTTTATGGAATAATTCCTGAGGAAATTCAAACACTACAGAAAGTTTAATTCGAGGCAGACCTATAGGAAGGCCGTAAACTGTGTGTATTTAATCTTTTTAACTCAGTGAAATACAGCTTTTTTTTTTTAAACCAAAAGCTTTTATGACCATCTGAAACGTGTTCATTTTTCATGGCAGAGATACTGATCTCAGTTACCACACTAGACATGATGTTCAGCATTTTATTTATTCAATGAGCCATTGTTAATGGTTCAATTTAGATTCTAATTGTTTGCATGAAACATGGACCAAAGTTATGGTCTGGGTCTTCTGGACCCAGATGGCAGCAATATAAGTGCTGGTTTTGTCCATTACAAGTATAAAGTGGGTCACATCTGCGTGGCCAGACGCAAGAATTTACAGATCATCTCCACCTATTCGCTAAGCCAGCAAGGTGCAGCCAGCTCCCGTCTCAAAGCTGTGAAGCAGGGTTAGCATGGCATTAAACCCCAGTTAATAAGCCTAGCTGAAAGCTTGCTGACTTGGGCTGTACTCTGTGTTAACATGAGTACGTAGCTTCTGGGTTGGAGTTCCATCTGAGCAAACCGTCTTTGAAAGCTAGAAGTCAGTTGGCTTACTAGGGAAAGCCAAGGTTGCCATGTTTTAGTTGCTCGTGTCTGGAAGGAAAATGCAAGGAATAATTTGGGGCTGAGACTGTACTTTAAATTTTCAGGGAAGCCACACTTCAAAAATGGCACCAGCTTTAGGCCTTGAGTTCATGTTTTTGTGCTGAGTGAAGGACATTGCCTTAGTCCAGTCACAGAAACCATCCAAGCTAAATTTCTTTAAAGCCTATATAACTTGATGGATTGGATTAATATTAGCATAATGTCGTAGGGATGGAGTGCATTATCTAGTTCATGGGAACACTGTCAAATGATACAGATGATAGCCATAATACTTGGTATATTGAGTTATGCAGGAATTCAGCAAATAAACATAATGTCTGGTGTCCTCATGCTTGACCTCCCAAAATGATAGGGCATTCTCATGCAATTTATGCAGTAATAGTATATTAAAATATAGCCAGAAGGTATCGACATTAAAATTAGAAAGTGAAATATGTCTCATTAATTTATAGAGGGATCTTTAGGCTGTCCAAGTGAGTGATGAGCACTCTGGTACAGTGGTTTTGAGCAAGGCGTGAAAGCTTAGAGTAGCTGTAGATACAGTTACAGACTGACACCATCCCACCACGAAAGTTTGGGTTTGCACTGAGCATGATCTGTATGTGAAGATCTTTCTAACTAGACAAAGCTGTTCCTGGGCTTCATGATTTGAACAGAATTTATCCTGCTGTCACTGTATTGTGACTTTGTCAGGTGCTCGGACTGGGAGGTGTTCATTCCTTTCAATACAAGCTCAAGGAGTGCACGTAGATAAGGGAAAGGAATTAAATTACTCACATGCAGAAGAATAAGATGCAGAGGAAGAAGGTCAGATTGCACTGGGAGGAGGCCCGGAGGGAAGAGGTGGGGCGACACCAGGGGGACAGTACTGTGTGAAGAACCTGAGCAGAGCAAGGTGTCCTCCAGAACGGGGGCCAGGACGCTTCCTCAGAGCCCCGGCACAGCTCTGTGAGCCGCATAAGCTGCCAAACCCCTTGGTAAGGTGTCTTCATGCTGTAGGGGACAGTCCATGTGAAGCATACCGGTCTGCTCCTGCTGGCTGGGACTGGCAGGATGGCCCAGGTTAGACATCTGTGGATCTACTGTTTGGTTCCATAAGATGGACTTTCCCTTTATAGCCTCTGTGAGACAAAATAAAGAATTGAGAAATTAAATTTCAAGGTAAGTTTGCTGCAAGTAAACGCTCTAAAGAAGGAACCAAGTGTGTGTGGACAGTGAATATTCACTATGATACCATCTTTAGTCACATGTTTGTTGGGGTTTGGGGGGGGTCCCAAGACCCCTTCCTCATTCAGCTCTCAGCATAAGCTGCTCCCAGCAATCCATTGGTGCCGTATAATGATCAAGACTGTGGGCTCTGCCTTGCTTGATTTAAAAATTGGAAAGTGAAGCCTAGTGAATAAAGCAATGGCTCAAAGGGATATCGCTTACAGGCTAGTGGTTATCAACAGTTACATGTTTTCCCTGCCCCTGCTGCAAACTTCCAGTTTGTTGTGCTACGTACTTAATTTAAGCTGGAACTTTCCTAGTTCTCAGCAACGTATTCTTCAGATACTCATGAACATGAGACATCTGAACATGCTGACTTCCAGCCCTATAATTTAGGCTGGTGCCTCCTATTTAGCATCACAAGACCTGGCTGTATTTTTGCGCAGTAGACTGGAAGTAGCAAAGGTTTTCTAAGGAACAGGGGGTCGGATGATCCCTGGTAGCTGTGCCCCAAAAAGCTTCCAGAGAGCGGTGACGGTGGTGCCTCAGGAAGAGCCTTTGCTTTCCCAGGCCTTCCACCTCTGCTCCCAGCATGTTTCCAGCTCTCCTCCAGTGGAAGGGAACAGTTTCTCCCCACAGCTTTTCTTACAATGTAGCTAAATTGGACTTAGTTCCTCAACTTAATGCTATTTTTAATAATTGAAAAATGAAAGCCTTTACAAATGTGGATAGCAAGCAAGTTAATGTTACTATGGAAACCTTAACTTTTTCTTGATTTCTGTTCAACAGCCTTGTTTTACTATAGCTTGTCATGAATGTGTGTTTATTCATATTTTTGTATATGAACAAGTAGTCGTAATTGTGATTCCTTGAATATCAAAAGAACTATTGCCTTTTTTTAAGTGTTGCGTTGATGCAGTACTCAGTACATAGGCGCACAGCGGTTGCTTGAATTGGCTAATGTAGTTAATTCCATTGAACTGTTCATTGCTTCAGAGTTCCTTTCAACAATTTTAGTCTAAAATTTATTTTGGGTTCATTATAATTCTGTTTTTCTTACACAGAAGTCTGTACATGCTGATCAGTGCATCTGATGACATTTCAAGAACATTTAAATATTTCAAGTTGAATTAAGCTTCAAAGCTGGTGAATCAGTGTTTGATGTGAAAGTATATTATGGCTTGTCTGCTGCAGTGCTTACAGGGCTCAGACTTCTCTTTTGAAAAACAGGAGCTGTTTTTTGCTTTTAGAATTGAATCGGCTAACTCTGTTGTTTAAATTTATCGGCTTTAACGTTGTCCTACTTTTCCAAATTTACCTCCAGAATCCTCTATAGGGAGGTGGTTTGGAGTATAGGGTTTGCCGTCATGCCTATATGGACATGCACCAAGTTTTAAGAAATGTTTTATTTGCTCCACCAGTACGGGAAGTAACTGTTCCTTTCACAACCTAAGGGGAAGTTGGCTGTGCTAGTGAAGAGAGAACTACTACAAAATGCAAAAATATTTAAAAGGGAGGAAAAAGCATGCAATCATTTTACTGGAAGGCAGCCTTTTCTTGGGATAAAAACAGCTTGAGGAGACTAGATCAGGAGATGTGAAGCAGAGTTTGCCAAATCTGCTGAATTTCATGCATGCGTGTAGTCCCTTCTGCACCCTGACGGTCCAGCCTGCTGTGGAAAAACAGAAGACTTACATTACTTTTGTAGTAGAAAATGCCAATACGAGAGATTTGGTCTGAGGTGAATTGGTTCTTCCATGGAATCCTGGAATTTTTTTTTTTTAAACAAAGCACACGAGTACTGAGTGTATTAAAGAGGCATTTTCATGTCCTTTTATTTAAAAGTGCAGTTGTAATTGGCTATGCACAGTTTTATGCCATATAGAAGGAGAAGCTAAAAAAAAATTGGAGATTAAAGTAACTTACACTGATGACTTCAAAACAGATGAACAGTTTCCTTTGTGATTTTCTAACAAAGTATCATTGATTTAGTTGAATTAATCTGGTATTTGCATTTACATTGGTGCAAACTGCGTATTTCCAAGGTTGGATTTTCCTATCAAGTCATCAAAAATACCATAATGCTCATAAGTGATTTTGAATGTGACACGTGGGAGATCCATGATTCTGTAAGTAAAGTCTAAACTATGAAGAACAGGTTTCATAGTCCCCACCTTAAAAAATCTATAATGCTGATGCAGTCCTGCAATTAGAGTTCTAGTTAAATCTTTGCCTGCTGTTTATTGGTTTTGGCTGCCAAGCAAAGCAAGATTTCCCAGCTCTCTTATTCGGAATTAAAATGAGAAATCCGTACATCAGGGCATGGCTGTGAAGGCAGGAAGGTAATTATTCCAGTCTTTTTGTATGGGGAGGATGTTATGCATGGGAGTGCCAACTGAATTTCACTCTTTTGTTTCCAGGTCTCTGTGGTCAATCAGTTGGATATGCAAGTCATCGTCTCTAATGTTCCTCCCACCCTTGTGGAACAAAACAAAGATCAACTCATAGGGTAATAAATTTATTTACTCTACAAATATCAGAAAATTCTCTGGTTTTGTGTTTAGATTCAGCACGCTCCCTTTATGCCACGATCCATTTTTTTACCGAAAGACTTGAAAATGCGCTAGTAGGTGTTTTGATGGGGAGCACAACCAGCTGAGGGACAGCACTGGCCCTCCCCAAACCCACATTTTGCCCCTCTTCTGGAGAATGCAGAGGCACAGCACTTCTTTGCTTGCACATTTGCCCGCTTTGTGGGCTCAGACTAGGTTCAGAGCTGCCCCTAATACAGACCATAGTGGAGGCTCCAAACACTGAGCACAGAACCCGCATCTGTCACAATCCAGGCTGTCAAATGAGTAAAGCACATCTCCAAAAGGCTGAGGCAGTGTGTCTCAGTGAGCTGTATTATTTGGGTGACGTAGCTCTAAGGGAAAAAAAGCAGAATTTAGAAAATTTATACTGGTACAATTAATACCACTAGCATCACCACATAGAATTTTAAGCGCAAAAAAATTGGTAATGGGGTGTTGTTATTCAGGTCTAGCAGGTATGAAATGTTGCGATGGGGGACGGGTAATTGGAAATGTTAATGCTTTGCAATAAAAGCAAAGTATTTTATCATACTGGAAGCCAGCTAAAATCTTTTTGGTAAAATATGTTTTAACAGCACTCATACCCACAACATCATCAGCTTCCAGGAGTCAGGTTTTCACTTTTAGCTTCTTTTTGTAAGACAAGGATGATTTTCTATACTTTGTGTCATTAGGCATATAACCATGAATTAGACAATATGGGGAAAAAAATACAATAGGAAATAGTTTAAAAACAATCTTTGTGTTCTGTCACTTTAATTGGTGATGAATGGCATTTCTCAAGATTTCAACAGGCCTGTTCCATCCTGACTGTTGTCATACCTTTACTTCTCCACGGAAATTGAAATACCTTAGGGTTGATGATATCATCATTCACCTAAAAAGAAGTGTGTTGTCTCTAAATGGCTCATGTCTTCACTGGGCTAGGAAAAAATATCGACAGATTTGCTTCTGGAGATTGTAGGACATGTTCCCCTTTTCTCCCTCTTTTTTGAGTCAGCTGTGAGTTAGCTCTGATAGATTCTAAGGTCAGAAACGCTAATGAAGTTGTTCAGGCAATAGTCTGGACTCACAGGGACTCCATTTCCTAGAGCTAAGAATAATGAAGGAGTCTGCTTGCTCAACACTTAAGATGTAGCTTTCCAGAAGTGTCAGGTGTTGGTGGTGGCTGGAGAGTCAAAGAGCAATGCATCTTTTAGTGACAGTAATAGGAAGAATTTGTTTCTGCTTTGCTACGCCTTCAAGTTCACCTCAGCGTGCTGCACTGTACACATTTTTCTTCACACGGTAATTTGTAGCCTTCCTGAGCTTCTGTTTTCTTGAGTGGAGAAGATGAACACGCGTTCTGTACCACGTGTTTCTGCATGGCGTAGCATAGATGTCATGCTAAATTGGACTTAGGCCGTGTTTGAGATCCTCCCAGTTTTGGACTGTCCTGGAGCCAGAGGAGCCACCAGCAAAATACAGATGGCTCTTACGGAAGGTGGTAGGGCAGAAGGCAGGGCAGAAGCAGCCTGGCTTGAATGAAGAGTGTCAACTGCGTAGCACACATGTCGTGGGACTGAGAGCATGAATGCTGCAATGGGTGGCACGGCGAGGACGGCAAGAGCAGATTGCGTCTCGCCCTTTCGCCATCCCTGCAAAAGTCTCCTTTTGCAAACGCTGGAGCAGCTTGTTTCCAGCCCCCAGCAGACCTCAGCAGTGTTCGCTGCCTCGACAATAAATTGTACCGTAAGCATACCCTCACTCCTCTCCTCCGGGGCCCAGAGGAATAGCTGGCATATCCTGCCACAGTCTTGGAAAATGGCCCAGAGCCACGTTCCTTGGTCTCTGTGCTCCAAAAAAACCTCTTTTCTGCCAGGTTGGAATCTTTTAAAACTTGTTTCATGCTGTTCTGGCACTTGTGCATGGAAGTCTCTGACAGATGTGTAAATATTTCACAGTGAATGAAGCTTTTGCATGGGTATAAAAATAAAAAAACACGTCCAGGTTTTGAATTCTCAAACTTAGCTTGGGAAGCCTTCACGAACACCGTGAGGCCAGCAAGTGAGTATAGCGTAAGAATTTCACTTCTAAGGATAGGCTTTCAAGGACAACCTTTGCCAGAAGAGATTGCATTAGCTTGTTTTAAAATTGTCACATCCCTTATTGAAAATATTTGCAGAGAAGTCTCAGAAATAATTTTGCATATGTGCATTTGTCTCTTTCACATGGAAATGTATTTATTTCATTGCCATCTTCAAATTTATTGGATTTTCCTCCTGAAGTTTAAAAGAATGCTATCTCCCTGTTTTTATAAAGGCTTTAATAATTCATGCAGGATGTAAAAACAAAATAATAGGAATTTGTGATTTTTCATGTGCTATTCGGAAGATATAACCTCAGGCAAAGGGAAACCAAATAATCTGGAGACCTTCTCAGGCTAAAGTACTTTTGCCCAAAGGGGTTTCTGAGCCATTTCAAGTAATGCAGTAATTTATAAAATTAGAACACATTGTATAATTCGTTAACAGATAGAAAGACTGGATCGTTAAGTCAGTTAGTAACTACAGAGGTTATTCGGCTCCTCTCATTTTAGGACTGGAGTGATAGTAAAAAATAATCTCTGAAAATATAACATTTAACCGCCCGTTGCAATGCTTGGTCATGGGGGATGTTAGGGAAGTGAGTAGTTGGGCCGTTTTTGAAATGATAGTGATTTTTCACAATAAAATAAATAGTGATTTAAACAACTTGGGAGAACAAGTTGTAACAGGTTCTCCCCAGCTGCCTGTAATTTTCACTAGAGAGTGGATAACAAGGTATTAAGAAATATATAATTAATGCAGTCTTCCACACAGGGAAGGCTTACTCAGCACAGCCCTGAGATGTACGTCGGTTAACGTTCCAAAGAAAGGAAGCATACCATAGAAGAAAAGATTTAAAATGTCCCTGTCTGTTTGGCTTAGGAGTTTGGGCTTTTTGAGGGCTACAATGGGTATGTCTTCAGCTGACATTTCTGATAGTGTCATGATCCTCCGCAGTCATTCAGTAAGCTCCTCAGTTTTCCTCCAACGGCTTTAATGTCGTCAACAAGCTGTTCATATCCTCTGGACTGCACATCAATGTCAGATTTGCCATTTCTCTCACCCACTTTAATTATGTCTGTTCAGATAGGTCCATTTATGTCTGCTACAGAAGATGACAGGGAAAATGGAGTGAGGCTTAGTGGAAAATTCAGTGCGTGTTCCTCTCCTTCAGAAAACTTGGGGAAGGCAGACGACAGTGTTTGTTAAACGTGTCGATGTTTGTGAGTGCTTATTGCTGGGCAAGGAACAGCATTCCAACTAGAATAAAATAGGCAACTTCATGCTCAGAGCATTTAGTTCTTTGGTTTTTCACATGGCTGCAACTTAAACCTCTAGCTAAAATCAGAAATACCAATTTACCAAGAGAGACCTGTGTTTCTCTCATCTCATAAGTAACAGAAATGTCTTGCGAATTAAATTCCTCGTACACGCTTCTGTAGATGGCAAATAATTTTCTCTGAAATGGAATAATGGAGTGGCTCCAAATGAGTGCTTTGATTAAATACTGCATAGACATTCCTCTTGAAAAGGCTGGTTTTGTCCCACAGCCTACAAACCCTGCAAAATGGAGATAATACTGCTTAGGGAACTCCCTTTTTTTTTTTTTTTTTTTTTTTTTTTTTTAATCTAAAGCTAGCCAAAACCATTTTGGCCTCATTTTCAACGTTAAAGTTAACATTTTTTGCATCGTGTGTGCTTTCTGAGCTGATCAAGTGGGTAAAGAAAACACATTCAGCTGCACTTGGACTGCTCTGGAGTTGTTAAAGAACAGTAGGATTGTTTCCTCAGTTTCAAAAATCATATGAGGTTTCCCGTGTTCTTCTTTCCTCCCTGTAGTGAAAAGTGAGCCTGGAAAGAACGGAGTTTCTTTTCCATCCATATGAAGAAAATCTCCTAGCGTTTGTGTAGGAATCTTTCATTGGAAAAGAGGATCTGATGGAATCACCTTACACTGCTAATAAATGTGCATAGATACAACAATAGATAGTTGTTTTATTATTTAATAATAAATTATGTAATAAATGGAAATATTTAAATGCTGAAATCTTGACTTCCCAGATCAAGAAGTTTCTGTAGTCTCCCGTATTTTCAGGGTGGTCTTGGTGGCGATTCCCTTTTTTTATATTTTGACTTCATAACAGACAAGTCGCGGTGCCTGTATTAGTGCACAGGTAGAGGTCCCAAAATGCTTGTACTTGCTGCACGTCGTGGGCTTTTGAGCCCGCCTTCTCTCTGCATCACTCTAGCATTTTCCGTTCTCCTGGGCTGAGGAATGTAGGTGCGCACAGCCTCCTTGGCCAGACCTGCCTCTGGAAGTGGAATTGAAGTGCAGGTGTTCTTGAGTAGCAACTTTGTCAGTCTTCTGGATGCTCCTGTGTATCGTGTGGATCTTAATAGAGATTATTCCCTACTTTTTAAGACATAATTACTGGAAATAGCACCTGTGATAATTCCAGGGAACTTTCCTTCATGTGTTTTTTGGCCTGTTATAGGCTGCAATCCTTAATACCTTAATGCTTACAAAAGAATGGAGCTGTTCCATAGTTAAAGAAAATCCACACTCAAACCTCTAATGCAATGTAGAAGCAACCAGACAGTTTTTTACCAGAAAATCCGAATATAAAATCAAGTGCTGATCCTTGGAGATATGCTGAGTGTCTCGGAATACAAACATTCAGCCTGGTAACTTAATAGTTTGCATATATAAAGTTGACTGCCATCATTTCTCAAAGGAGCATCTGCTCTGCTTTGCTGCATAGGAACTGTGGTCCACTTAAAAGAAAAGTCATAATATATACCATAGCAATATATATTGCTATAAATTATATATCATAATATACATCACA